CCAGGAGTTTTATGCTAAGGGAAGGGAAAGGCTGAGGACCTGGTGCCAGCCTGATGGAAGGCTTGTCTCTATGCTGCCTCCTCAAGGAGAGATTTCACATTTTCTAACAAATTTGTTATACCACATTGCAGGGAAGACTGGAGTGAAAACAGGGATAGATGGATCCATGAAGGCTCTCAGTGTGTGTGCCTCTTACCTTCTACGTAACCCTAATCCCCATGTGAGGACTCGGGGGATACACCTCATTCCTCCTCTTCTCCAATGTGGCCGCACTGAATACACCTCCTTTCCCTGCTTTGGACTATTTCTTGTCTGTTGACTTCTGTGAGCCTAGCTTCTTAGGGCCACTAGGACCCAGTCTTTTGAAACTGTCCTGACAGGAATGAAGACATTCTAAGGAGGCCCTCATGCCCCTCACTTTGGCTATCAGAGTTGAGACAAATGTCCCCCAAGGAATTGGCATTTCCCCAGAAGTAGCATGTTGGGAGAAGAAAGGGGACTGTGGCCTGGTATCTGCCAGACAGAGCGCTTGTTTCCTGGACAGGATTCACAAAGCCATGACAGTCTGCCTGACTGATGGGGAAATGTCTATATGCTGTGAATATGTGTTGCTCTGATTGGTTGATAAAGCCGTTTGGCCTATGGCAAAGCAGCTTAGAGGCAGGCGGGAAATTCAAGGAGAGGGACAGGAAGAAGGTGATGAGAGACGCTAACAAGCCACCCAAGGAGCAACATGTAATGGGATGCAGGTAAAGCCACGGAACATGTGGTGATACATACATTCATAGTTATGTGTAGTGGGTAGCCGTTCCAGCTTTGACCTGGAAGTACCAACCCCCCTCAAAACTTCGGTAACTGTCACACCTACAAGGCAGAGCCAAAAAAGAGGACCCCTGAAGAACCGAGATCCACATGGGCCAGCTCTCTTGGTTCCTAGATCCTGGACGCTGGAGGTAGACCTAGCAGAGTTCTCCAGAGAACACTGCTGGACTGTGCTACACCTTTCACAGACCCTGTAACCTATCCCTTCACTTGTAAGTTACCCCACAAAATAAACCTTCCTTTTAACTACATGGAGTTGCCTTAATATTTAAACTAATATCTGGCACCCAACATGGGGCATGAACCCACGACCCTGAGATTAAGAGTCTCATGATCTACTGACTGAGCTTTTAGCTAGCAAAAAGCTTGAGCCACAGCCATGCAGTTATAATTAATATAAGCCTCTGTGTGTTTACTTGGGGGACATGAGTGGGAGAGATTTGTCCCGACCACTGGCAGGCCAGGACACAGGAAATCTTCTGGCTATACCTGACTAACTTGCAGGAGAAGCTGGAGCAAAAGCAAAGATGGTCCATGAGGAGCAGAAAGACACTTGACCACACCGATTGGCTAGGCATGTCTCTTGCCCTCTATCGAAACCTAAACTTCATGTCAATGCTCTCAAAGACAAACTTAGGTTGGGTGAAACCACTGAACCTGTTTATTTGTCCCCATTGCAGACAGTGAATAAATCTCTCCCCACCCCAAAACCTGGTCTCTGCTTTTCACTATTACTGTTTCATTGGCCTATTAAGGACAAGTGGCCAAGCTCAGCTTGTCGAGGTTGTGGGGGGCCAGGATCTGACCTTGGAGACACAGGTAACAGATACACTGTTCTCCCTGATATTTTTCTTTAAGGCTTTTCCTTCCATCCAGCACAGCATTAAGCTGCATCCTGCCTCCTTCCCTCCACACTAACTTCCTTGTAAGAATACTTTCACATCACCCACAGTTTAATCTTATGATCTGTTCACTACCAGCAGCTGGGATGCCTCCAGCCACCCTCCACCCGTAAACCCTTGGGTCAGATAGCAAGATGCTCCTGTTTCTTGTTACCTGGTCCATGAATGGGCTGTGCTCGATTGTCAGGTGGAGCTCCAGTGCCCCAGCTGGCCCTTAAAGGACCAAATTATCTCACTGTTTCAGAATCACCCCAGGTTTAGGTTTAGTTCCTTCGTGTGGTTAAAACAGACTGCCTAGGGCAGGTAATTTTTAAAGAACAGGTTGCTTTCTTACAACTCTGGAAGTTGGGAAGCTCAAGGGCACACAGCCAGCATCTAGCAAAGCCTGCAGGCTGTGTTATCCCAAGGAAGGCAGAGGGACAGTCAAGAGGGACCAGACTGATTCTACAGTAAATCTTTACAGTAACCATGATCCATTTCTGAGGCAGAGCCCCCTTGCCCAAATCACCTTTTTGATTTGGGTTTTGTTTCCTTACTTTTTATTTCTAATGATGTATGTGTTTCTGTGTGGGGGTACAAGTGCCCCAGGAGGTCAGAAGAGGATGTCAAATTCCCTGGGGCTCATTAGGTGGATGTGTACCACCCAGCATAGGTGCAGGGGTCCTCTGCAAGAGCAGTACTGGCTCTTGGCTTTTAACCACTGAGCCATCTTTCCTAACCCTGGTCTGGGCTTTTGGGACAGCCTCATGACATTGCCCAGCTAATTTGGTTCTGTGTCACCCATTTCCTGACTGAATTACCTCCCAGCCTTGAGCCTCTAACAGCATGATAACCAAAGGCTTGAAGAAGAATCTTTGTGAGTCACTTGCTAGGATCTTTTTGCAGCAGTTTAAGCTTGACTTGCAAGCCAGGCCTGATGGTGTAGCCCGTTCACCCAAGCATTTAGGAGGCAGAGGCAGATGGATCTCCATGAGTTCAGGGCCAGCCTGATCTACATAGCGAGCTCCAGGACAGCCAGGGCTACATATTAGAGACCCTGTCTCAAAAGCAAAACAAAACAAGGAAGTCTGCCTTGAGGTTAGAGAGGTGGCTCAGTGGTTAAGACTGCTTGCTGCTTTCAGAGAACCCAGGTTTGGCTCCCATCATCCACATCAAGTAGCTCACAAACTGCCTGTAGCTCCAGCTCTAGAGGATATGACACCCTCTTCTGGCCTCAATAGGCACCTGCACTGTGTCAGCCCAGAGTGGGGCACACACAAATTAAAAATAAATCTTAAAACAAGTATCTTTGTTAAGAATTTTAGAAATTATATATCCATCTTTAAGCTTATTTACAAGCATTTACCAAAAATATCACATTGCAAATGCTGACCCCTGAAGGTTGAACAATCTCTTGTACAATTCTATTAATCCTGAAAGTGGCCCGTTCTTGCATGATGACACTTCCCTGGGTACTCTGACACACCAGTGCCATCTGGTGGGAAGTTAGTGCACAGGCCTTCCAACTCCAGGACACCCGTGGTGGTCAGGATGAGAACTATTCCCACAGGCTCAGGTACGTGAGCACTTGGCCCTGGGCAGTGGCACCGTTAGGAGAGCTTCTAAGAAGGTTCTGCATTGCTGGAGGAAGTAGACCACTGTGGGTGGGAGAAGGCTTTGAGGATTCACAGCATCTCCACTTCCGGCTCAGTCCCTCTGGGGTGTGCTTTTAGCTGGGCTCTCAGCTTCCTGCTGCCATACTTCCCATGCCACGACAGACTCTAAACTGTTCCTTCTTTAAGTTGTGTTGGTCACACTATTTCATCACAGCAACAGAAAAGTAACTAATATATGTGTCTCTTGGGGTGTGTGTGTGTGCATTCATCTCAAAAATAAGTCTTGCCTTTAAACAGTGGCCTATTTTCTACATCTTTATCAATATGAGCATCTAATCACAAAGCACTACAAACCTAAAACTAACTTTAATTAAAATGCGCAAACATTTTGGAGCAGCAGTCGGCTCAGCAGGTAAAGGTGCTTGCGGCCAAGCCTGATGACTCAAGTTCAATCGGTTGAACCTACATGGTGGAACAGGATAATGCCCAAAAGTTGTCTCTGACCTCCACACATACCCACCCTTCCCCCCAAATGCTTTAAAAAAAATGAACATTTCTTTCTATAGACTTCAACTTCTAAAACATCTTTTTCTGTTTGTATGAAGATTGACATGAATCATCGATTACCTATATCTCTAACAGAGATACATGTGACATAGGCCTAAGACATGTATGTTATACATATACCTACATGCTGTTATTGAGCAACAGCCCTTTGGCTGTGAAGGAAGCAATGCAGGCAGGTGTGAGCTGAGCATCCGTGTTGGGCGTCACCATCAGCCACTGAAGTCAGGTGGACAGGCAACAGGACACAATTGCTAAGAAAAAAGGCTAGGTGTGGTGTCCACACACTAAATCTGCCTCGAGAGGCAGAGGCAGGTGGGTCATGTGAGTTCAAGGCCAGCAAGTTTCAGGCTAAGCAGGACTACATGGTGGATCCCATCTGAAATTACATAAACCCCCCTGGAGGCAGGAGAGCTGGCTCTGCTCTTGCAGGGTGGGTTCAGTTCCCAGCACCCACATCCTGTGGCTGACAACTGCCTATGACTCCAGACCCAAGGGATCTCCTACCCTCTGGCCCATGGGGACTGCACACACACAATACACACATAGTACACCCATAGTACACAGACTTACACACTAAAAATACTAAATCTTTAAAAAGCAAAAAGCCCCCTCTCCTTGCTTGAAATATCAGCGGCTACTTCATCACGTTTTATTGGGGGCAGGGGGGTGGGGGTGGGGGGGTGGGATGTGGAGGTCAGAGGACAATTTGGGGGAGCTGGCTCTCTCCACCATGTGGGTCCCTGAGATCAAACTCAGCCCATCAACTTGGTGAGGATCACTCTTACCCACTGATCCAGTCTTAAGGTTTCTTTTTTTCTTTCTTTCTCTCGAGACAGGGTTTCCCTGTGTAGCCTTGCCTATCCTGGAACTCACTCTGTAGACCAGGCTGGCCTTGAACTCAGAGATCGGCCTGCCTTTGACTCCTGAATGCTGGGATTAAAGGCATGCACCACCACATCCAGCTCTAAGCTTTTCTTTAATTCCTTTCCACAAATTGGAAACTAGTAACTGGGTGGGATCTTCCCCTGAGGTCACCACTTCCTTTAGGCCAGCTTCCTAAGGCTTCTTAAAAATGCAAATTGCAAGAATTTTAAAATGATAATACAGAAACAAAGACTGTTTAACTGATTTTAATAACATGACATAAAGCCCCTAAAATTGATATAATCATTATGCAAAATACATACATGAATACTGTCTTCTTTCAAAAATATAAAATAAATAAGCAAGACATGTGAAAATAGGCAAGTTTCCATTAATTAAATGAAAATTTTAAAAAAAAGTTTTCCTTTCGTTTCATTTAAAGGAGGGAAATTATTATTTAAGACAATATTCAAGTTTATTAAACAAGGTAAAAAAAAAAAGTATTAGAAAATGTTTAGCTTTCATCCGCCTCAAGGTTTATGTTGCTGCCAAATTTTGCGTATAACTGTACTTTCAAGTCGGCTAATACCCGCTGGATGGACGCCACTCTGGATTCTAAGGCATCAATCTCTTCTTGCAAAGTTTTCTGGAAAAAAAAACGGTTTAAATTAACTGGCTTCTTCAGCTGGATGACTTATAAGCACATAGTCTGGAATTATATTTGTCAGGAATTTTAGGTAAAGAACTCTAAACTGGTCAGGGGCAAACTGACAGCAGTAATTAGACCCAAGACCACAGTCTGAACGTGCAAACATTTAACTCAGGCCAATGCTAGCTCATCATGGTGCCGAGGATGCATTCTCAATCTCTGCTGAGACTTGAACTCCGAGCCTCTGGAAAAGTGGAAGAGCAGCCAGTGCTCATAACCACTGAGCCATCTATCTCTCCAGCCCCTTCTCAAGGTTTATAGATTCCATCCATGGGAAGTCCTGTTTTAGAAGTCTGAAGCAGAGACTACCATTTGAAGTAACACTCAAGCTAATGAAGCAACAGTATCAGGGTAACTGTCGCCAGCTTCTCACCCACTGCTGGCTGGAAGCCTCGTGGAGTTCATTTCACACACCCTCTCACTGGGCACTTCTAAAGCAGCCAACTTCAACCCCGGAACCACACTTCTCTTTATTTCCTCAAAACAAGCTTCTAAATGTGAACCAAGACTTATGCAGAAGATTGCTCACTGGAACATTATTACTTCAGCAAAATATCAGAAACAAATTAATGCTAATAAGGGCACAGTGAGCAAATCAATGCCCCTCAACACAAGATTAAGATGGCCTCAAATAAGTCGTAAGACAGTGGTGGTATGTTGTAGGCCTGTGTGGTTTCCGATCAGTGTGCTGTATAAACGAGCATCCAATAGAGAAAATGCTCCTGCACAATGTTAACTGGCCTAGGTGTTACACAGAGGTGGATGCGGAGGGGAGGGCAAACAGAGAGACAGGTTCACCACTGATGGTGGCATCAGATGGTACAGCTCCCAGGGACTCCTCTATATATATAGCACACTAGTGCATACTCAATATTTTCACCTGGAAACAAAAGTTCTGGGGGCCAGAAGACCACAGCCATGTGCCACTTTGCTAAGTCCTGGAACCTCTCTGAGCCTCTGTCCTCACTGTAAATTGTGCTGTGAGGATTACTAAGACCACACTGGCAAAGTGCTCAGAGCCCGGGATGCTGCACAAAACCCTCAATGTTAGGAGGCACCGCTGTCCCCCTCCACCTGTGACTGTGCATGCTGCAGAAGGACAGGACATGCTTCCCGATTTGAGAAATAGATGCCGTCACCCGGGACAAGGCTCCCACACACCTTTGCTTCTTCTAACATTTCCTGGGTTTCTTCTTGAGAGTGGCTAATGAAAACGTCTCCGATCTGGTACGGGATCATTAAGCAGTCGTCATCTGCTAGCATGATGTCGTCGCAAGCGTCTTCTAAATTCTGGAGGTGTTTCTGTCAGGCAAGAAAAGAGAACTACATGAAAAGCTGAGCACAAGCCTCAAGAATTACAGGACATGCAGCAGCAGCAGTTCAGTGTCCCTACATCTGTAGGGCTCCAGGATCAGTAAACACAAGTGTAGTTTTATCCCCAGGCAAATCCTCAAACATGGTATAGAACTGCACTGGGAAACCGCACTAGACTCCAGGGCCTCACTCACTATGACCCCACCTCTCCTAAGAGCAGATGAGCTCTTGAGCTGGGCTTGCAGTCACCTATAACCAGACCAGTCAGCAGGCTGAGGCTAGCCTTAGCTACATGGTAAACTGTAGGATCAGGACCCTACCTCAAAACAAACAAACAAAAACAGACTTCGTATTAACTGTCCAGACAGTGTCACCAGGGACAAGGAGCCATGAGGAAGCTAGCACTTGCTAAACATAGTTCAGTTTTAAGGGTTACAGTATGAACTTCTAAAGCAGACATTTGAATCCAGTACCTTCTTCACTTCTATTTCCTCCTTTAGCTCTGTGATTCGACTCGTATTTCGAGCAAATTTGTTTATTTTTTGCTGATCTTCGAAAGTAACATTGACATCTTCTGCAGCCTGAAAAAGATATTGAGTTTTCTGTAGAATTTCAATCAGAAGTTACGGGTGGCCATCTTACACTGTGCGGCAACAACCAGTGCACCACCCATCCTCAGAGAGCTGAGAGCACAAGGTGTAAGACATCACAGTGTGTCATCTGACTAATTGTTCGTGACGCTACCATCTTCCCCATTATCCTACAGGACCATCTCTAAACACGTTTGAACTATAAAAAGGTTATTAATAAAAGTCCTAATAAAAAGAAAAGCCAACTTTGCCCAAAAGGCAGAATTTCCCAAGCTAGGCCATTGTTTCACTAAGACATGCCCAGGAAGCAAAATGTTATGTAGTCATTTTGTGAATGACTCAGTGAATCTCACAGACACTGTTTCGGAGGTAAACCACATACAGGCATGCTGTGCTGATACACTGTAGAGTCACCATGCATTTCAATGGCGCTGGTCCACACACTTAAACTTTGTATTTATTCTAACATAGTGAATCTACTACAAGGTGATGGAAATTAAAGGTTTTATATTTCACATTTGATGTGACAGATCTGCAGACAAAGCTGAGTGTTTACATGATAATAGTCAACGCTTGGGCTCCTACCGGACACTAAGAACTCTGCTAATGCCCATCTCATAAGGACATCATTAACATCACCACTTCAGAGATGACCTGGGACCTGAGTTCAGATAACTTGGGCCAAGCCACACAGGCAGTAATGGATAGACCTTGATTTTAATGCAAGCGATCTGTTCCCAGTGTCAAGTATACATATGCATGCCCATGTGTGTGCAGGTAGATGAGTTCCTATTGAGTTAGAAGATGTGGCAGAAGTTCTTAGATTGCTTCAGAATCTTAAAGGGGTTTCAATATATTTAAAAAGGAAATTAAATACCAACCCTTCCTTACGGAGTCTTTATAAAAATAAGAACAAGTGTACCTGACAATAGCTTAAAGGGGAGTAAAGCTATGTGTATGTAAAGACAGGCCCTACTGGACATGAAGCACATCTCAGCATGTGAGACTGAGGCAGGAGGATTACAAGTTTGAAGCTAGCTTTGGATCCATAAAGAAACCTTGTTTCAAAAAGTTCATGGTGCTGGAGAGATGGCTTGTGGTTAGGAGCGCTTGCTGCTCTTCCAAAGGACCTGAGCTCAGTTCTCAGCACCTGCACCAGGCAGCTCCCGGCTGCCTGTGATGCCCGCTCCAGGGGCTCTGCCCGCTCCAGGGGCGCTGCCCGCTCCAGGGACTCTGCGGCCCTCTGCCGCCCTCTGCAGGCACACGTACGCGCACACAAACAAAAATAAAACCTTTACAAAGAAAAGGCTCTCACTGAGGCTACTTAAAGATAGTCACATTTGCAGATACCATCACGTATTGAATTAATAAATGCAGGGTCAGTAAGATTGGCTGGCTCTTCTGCCAGCAGCAGAAGTAAGTGACAATACCCACACTCCACCATTCCTGGTGTCTTGTAAGCTATGGCATAAGGCATGTGTACACAAACTTCTCCAGAAGTTGAAAGGCAGCCTGCAGTCTCGAGAGACAGCTCAGTGGTCTGGATAGACAGCCCCGGATAGAGACTTAGGCCTCCCCTTTAGCAGACTCCCATCCTAAGAAGCAACTCCACAGCACTAAGTCTATCATCAGACCCAAAGTGCACGCTGGAAGAGCCCTTCCCACCCTGGTGTGCACAGCATGGAGGTTCAACACTGTAATTCCTATCAACACACAGAGGGAAAGCAGACACTGAACAAACACCAAGGTGGAGAGACCTGGCGCCTTTGCCTATGAGAATTATCAATCCAGACAGAACCCTGAAGACTTCCTCCTTACCTTGGGGGTTTAGTGTTCTGTTTATGCAGTGGGCCGCCAAGCCCTAGAATGCATTTACACATGAGTCTGTCACTTACACATGAGGGCTTTAAGGGAATTGGAGGGAAAGGCTCTAATGCAGTGGTTCTCAACCTGTGGGTCACGACCCCTTGGGGTTGAGCCACTTTCCACAGGGATCACCTAAGACCTCGGAAAACAGATATTTACATTACAATTCAAAACAGTAGAAAAATTAGTTATGAAGTAGCAACAAAAATAATTTAATGGTTGGGGGTCACCACAGCATGAGGAACTATATTAAAGGCTCGAAGCATCAGGACGGTTGAGAGCCACTGCTCTAGCAGGGCCTGTATGACAAGCAACCGGGGTGAAAGGTTTCTGAAGTGGAATCTGAAGTGATACTGGAATATGATAGATCAGACTCAGAAACATTTGGATGCCAGAGTGCTGGAAGTTGGCTACTTTCGATCCTTCCGAAGCAGGCATTTCCTGGTGTAGCCCTGCCAAACAGCAGCCACATGCAGGCACTCGGCGACCCTGGGACCCAGTTCCTTGAGATGGTTTTTCTCCCAAAGTTACGGACTGTAGTCAGTGAGTTAAAGGCATGGTGCTCCTTCACCGAGCCAGGAGGTGGTCCCCAGCAGCAGCTAAAAAAGTGACACCTGTGATCCCTAAAGGCAGTTGCTCCTACAACACATTGTGTTCCTTTTGAAGGTGCTAGGGATTGAACGGCCCTCACACACTGGACAAGCACTCTACCATACAGCTGCACCCCACCCCACTTCTACATTTCTTGAACCACGTTTTGGCAGAAAGATAGTAACTTTTAACTGGGGTGCAAAGACATCAAGAAGTTGATTCAGTCCCCCAAATCATAGATGCAAGACAGGGCGGCACTGCAGGGGTGTCCAATCTTTTGACATTGTGACATGATGCCACCTACAAATGTGTTGGGCCACATGTACAGATATCCTGGGACAGAAGACTGCAAGGTGAACATGCCCAGCATACAGCATGTGCATTCTCTGGAAGGGTCTTGGTAGCTTTCATTGGATTTTCAAAGAGACCTACAAGCCCAGAGGGCCGACGACACCGGTCTTAGCCAAGCCAGACGCCGTGACGACTGAGAGCAGTTATTTTCTAGCAGTGAAGAAAGGCAGGACGGACTCCAAACCATGCATGTGGAACTTAGGCCATTCGCTCGGTCCCCGGAGCCACCCTGATCTGTCATCTGTGAAATGAAGAAGGTGTTCCCACCTGTGCAGGGATGCTGAAACGAGATTCAAGCACAGGACCCGGGAGTGCCGTCACCCATTGACAAATAACAGCTAAGTAAGTACTCTGCCTGCTCGGTACTGGTTCCAACGTGCAATACCAGGCTAACTCAGTTGGTAGCGTGCTTGCCCAGCATGTGTGAAGCCCTGAGTTTCATTCCCAGCACTGTATGAAACCAGGTGTGGTGGGACAAACCTGCAGCCCAGCAGTTAGGAGGCGGAGGCAGGAGGATGGAGAGGCAAAGTTCATCCTCCGCTGCATAGTGAATTTGAGGCCAGCCCAAGTGACGAGAGACCCAATTAAAAAGAAATGAAGGAAGGGAAGAATGGTAAAAAGGAGCATTATAGATTAAGGGAATTCTGCTAGGTATAAGAGACATGATGCTTTAGATTCAAGAGAAAGGTAAAACGCCCTGAACCCTGACTATACCCTTTTCCTGGTAGCGTCCTATGGGATTGTAAGAGGAAACAAACCATACTTTATACTGAGTTTAGGTATGGATAGTTGGATGCCCAGGAAAAAAAGTTCTCACCAATTTCAGTTGGCAGTCAGATCTCTAAGTTCCAGACCAGCCAAGGCTACACAGTGAGTCCTTGTCTCAAAAAACAAAAGGACAAACCTAGTGTTTATCATGTAACGAAACAGTATGGCTGACATCTGACGACCCAACCTAACAAAAGGGGCAAAGTGGAACCTGTTTCCTACTTAAACCAAATCACATGGCCATGGACCTTACTTTGCTACTGTATAACAATTTGTGGGTGACAGACCAGCAGGGTGAGCAACTCATCCTAATCCAGTCTCTGCAATCATTCACTCCTGAATAAACCAGAAGGGCTGACCATCATCCATCAGTGGCCAGACGCTCCAAATTCATGGCACTGGACAGCAAAAACACAAACGACATTCTAAAGGGGTATTAAACAGTGGAATGAGAGCAAATGTCTGCAGCCAGGTCCCTCTCATGAGAGACCCCGCCCTTACACACACACACACACACACACACACACACACACACACACACACACACACACACACACAAAAGCGCGCGCGCACCCTGGAGTGAGGATGCTGTTTAAATCACAGCTTTTCTTCTGTGCTTCAGTTTCCTCATCAGCTAAATAAGAATAAAAACGGAATCTCCCAAAAGGTTTAAATGGTAGGAAAAAATAAAAAACTCGTAAACACGAAGTACTTCACCAAACACACTGTAAAAGCCCAATAGTCATCAGTTGGTATTTTTTTTTCTTCCTGCCATTTTCTTTTTTCTACTTAGACTGCACATCTGGAAACACTTTTGGGTTATAATGCTAATATATATATATATATATATGTATATATAATGTATGTAATTATATATATAATGTTATAATTAATAAAAACAAACTCAGAGCCAGGTATTGGGGTGAACGCTGAAAGATCAGAGACAGAACCCGCCACAGCTACCACCTCGCCAATTCCTCAGCCGATCCTGTTTCCTCAGACTGGAAGCCTCTGAGTCCTCATCCAAATGGGTCTCAGCTGAACTGCTGCTCAAAAGCCTAAAAGCTTAACCAGGCTCTAGTTCCTGGTCCTCACGCCTTATATACCCTTCTGCCATCACTTCCTGGGATTAAAGGCGTGAGTCACCATGCTATTTCCAGTGTGGCCTTGAACTCACAGAGATCCGCATGGATCTCTGCTCCAGAAGGCTAGGATTAAAGGTGTGAGTGCCACCATTTTCTGGCCTCTATGTCTGTCTAGTGGCTGTTCTGTTCTCTGACCCCAGATAAACTTATCAGGGTGCACGATATATTGGGGAACACAATATCACCACATGTTAGTTTAGCTTGATTTCAAAGTATGACAAACAGGGTTGGATAGGCATGAAGACTGGTTGCCTATCATGAAGGAGGCCCTGGATTCACCCCACCAGCACACCAAAAGCCAAATGTGGCGGCAAACACCTGTAATTCCAGCACCTGGAAGTTGGGAGGTGGAGGCAGGGGGATCAGAAATTCAAAATCATCCTTGACTACATAGGGAGCTGTGGGCCAGTGTGGAACACACACGTAAGACCATGTCTTTTTAAAGTGTGATAAAAGACCACACTGCGCTCCATGCACCAATTATCAGGTGTCGTTTTAAAATGAAATAATCAAGAGCTGTGATTTGGGAACAGACAAAACCACCTGACACAGCATCTTGCCAGATGAGTCACCAGGGAATGGCTAACTGTGGAGTGCGGGGAGCGGGGTGGGGGGACCCGTGTCCTTCCGCGGGGCCGGGGAAAACCAAGGGAACCCCCACACTCCCTCGGGCCGAGCCCTCTAACGTCCACAAACACCGTTTCAGCCCGAAGGGCACAGGTGCAGCGAGCGTGGGTGGACGCGGGGCTCCGGGCGGGGCGCAGCGGCTGCGGCATCAGCTGTCCCGGGATGGAGCCCAGCCCGCTCCCCGAGGAGACGCACGACCCGAGCCGGGCAGCCGCTTCCCCTCCCGCGGAGCCGGGGCCACAGCAGCACCCGTGTGCCCAGCGCGGGCCCGGCCCCTCGGACACCTCATCTTCCCAGACCTCCGGCCACCAGCGCCCCGCCACTCCTCAGATCCCCCGGCCCGCATCCCCTGGCAGCCCCGCCGCCGCGCCCACGCCGCCTCGGACCCCGGCCCGGCCGCACTCACCGCCTTCTTCATGGTGGCCGCCATCTTGGACTGGACCACGGGGCGCAGGGGAGGAACATCCTGGGGCGCGCCACCCCCCTGGGGTCCCTCCCGGGCCCCGCTGACCAAAACTCCCCTAAAACACAGCACTATCTCCACACTGCTTCCAGCGGGGTCCCTGGCCGTGAATTCTTAGACAGGGACTCAGGAAGGAACTAGAACCTGGAAAGACTTGGTACGTTCCAATTAAAGGGACAGGCAGCTTCCCTCTCGGCCGGCATAAACACCAAGTGAAGCCAACAGTCCGGCCAGAGATTCCAGCCACCGGCAGCAGGGGGAGCGCTGGGTACCTACCACCCAGCTGGACGGACCCGGAGGAGTGAGAAATTCTTTCTGCATTAATTCAACAAGCTTAAACTAAGCCGAGTAGCAGCTCAACCTAAAAAGGAGCTGCGGAAGCTAGGGGCCGTGACTCCGGCTCCTTCAGTACAGTGTTTACACTCAAGCATGAGGACCTGAGTTCGATCCCCAGCACCCACGTGAAAACCCAGTGCCGGGTGGCGGGTGGGAGGTGGGGCAGGCAGAAAGCTACAAGTTGAGGGCACTGACATGCGGGCCACACTTGAAGTTGGCCTTAGCGTGCCTGCCATTGACCACTGCAAAGGACACTGGAATGGAATGAGCAGCCAGGAGTGGATGAAGCCAAAGGATGACCCCAAAAAATCTAGAGCAATATAACAGACTCAAAAGCTCAGATGATACCTTATTTTTATTTGTTTGTTTATTGGAGACAGGGTGTCGTCTATATGTAATTCTGGCTTTCCTGGAACTAGCTATGTAGACCAATCTGGCCTTGAACTCACAGAGATCCTCCTGCTTCTGCCTCCCTAGTGCTGGAAATCAACGGTGAGTTCCACCATGTACAGCTGAAATGAATTTTTAAAAGTATTTTAAATTAAATTGGTTCAGCAATAGGTCTGCCACTCACTCAAGTATGCCAGCCTGAGAAGGCTGTCTATAGAGGCCTGATGGGCACAGGCTTCCTCAGCAACCAGGACCACTGTTACCTCCCTGGAGCCAAGACATTGTCCCGGAAATGTCCGGGAAACACAGAGCTCTGGGGGCAAAAATGCTGAGAACATTGGGGCAAGGGGCATTGTCTCATCTCCCAAGCAAGTGATGTGGGCCGGGGAGGTCTGGGCTTTCAGCAGCAGCCCAATAAGAACGTGGCCCTGGGCTGGGTACCCTGTGCATCTCTGACAGTCCCTCCTGTGGCTTCTGCGAACATCAGTCCTCCCACCAGGGCATGCAAAGGAGGGAGGGGACAGGTCTCACCTGTCTGCTTATAGTGCAGTGGTTCTCAACCTTCCTGATGCTGCGACCCTTTAATACAGTTTCATGCTGTGGTGACCACCGACCGTAAAATTATTTCGTTGCTACTTCATAACTGTGATTTTGCTACTGTTATGAATCATAATATAAATATCTGCTACCCAGGATAACTGATATGTGACCCCTGTAAAAGGGTCCTTTGGCTCCCATAGGTCACGACCTACATACAGTTGAGAACCGCTGTTACAGCCTGTAATGTACCCTTTGATTACAGTCTGTCTCCTGTCATTATAATGCAATCTTCCTCGTTCATTGTGTGCTTACCAGCAGGCTCTCTGGGTGTAAGGAACCTGGACCCCTCAGACAGAGGTTCTAACACACCCTCCCAGAAAAGTGTTTGCCGGTTGCACTCTGCTAACTTGGAGGTTGCTCACAGGAAGCTGGCTCTCAGCCCGAGGCTCACTGTGGCACCACTTTCAAGGAGCTCATTTACACGGCACCACGAACGGAAGCCCTTGGCTCTGTAGCCTGTGGGGCAGCTCAGAAGGAAGAGCTAGTGTCTGGCTGCAGTGGTCAGTGGAGACTCTGGAGGTGGCTGCGTATTGACTGGACCAGGCACTGGGGGTGCTGCCTGTCGAAAACAGATAAAACACCTTGTTCTCATGCAGCTTGGCCATCTAGTGATAGCACACGGACCGCAACAGAGTACTTCAATAAGGACAGTGTGTCAGAAAGGGTGATTAGCATAAATGTGACTGACTGCCCCCAGGAAGGACGCACAAAAAGATAAGGAACATATGCAGCTCTGCCATGAGAACTCCACTGGAGAGGCATGAAAAAAAAAAAGTTGATTTTACTGGAAATGACTGTATACTACAGTGTGTCCAAACACATCCCAGCGTTGGGCTGTGTCACACAAGGATAATGAATGTTTTTGTCATTTTGTTTACACGGCAGTATATATTGAGTGCCCACCCCACCCCCACCCCCACCCCAAAAAAAACCCTGCAGCATCGCCCTGTGCTCCCTGTGCTTGAGTGACAGAAATGGGCAAATCTCGCTAGCAGGAAGTAATTTGATCCTGTGCCTGCAGGGGGCGCCCAAGGATCATGACTGCATTTCCCAGGCATTCAAGTCTACATACTAGGAATTTGTTTGTATTTGGCTCAAATTTTTTTGTAAGTTATTTTGCCCTGACAGGGTTTGAAATTCTCATGTCTTCCCACTGCATGTAGGGTATAACTCAAATTCAGAATCAAGGCCAGACTTCCTCTCTGATTATTGTGTAACACATTTCTGGGAGAGTCTTGGACAAACATCTACTCACCCCAGACTGGGAACCCATGACAGAACAAAGGACAGGCAGCACAAGAGTCCAGCTTGGTGAACAATGGGTTCCCCGAGGGTACCTACAGGACTGTGTGGGAGGGGCTGCTGGGAGGAACATAGAGGACTCGAACACCTTCTTGGTCCAGTCGGCACACCAAGGTTTCAGAGTCCCCATTGACCACTGCAGCAGATACTAACTCTTTCACCTGAGTCTGGCCCAAGGGTTGCAGCTCCCAGGACTGGGGTTTGAGGTGAACTACAGAATGATGTGATATGATGGATTCTTTCTTTTCTACCTCTGCCCTTTCCCTCCAGGAGATACAGGAGCAGGGTGCCATCTTGGATGGAGAGGCCAGACCCCTCTCCAGACACAGAACCTTCCAGCACCTTGATATTGGGCTCATTCTTCTCCATAATTCTGAATACATTTCTGTTGCTTATGAATTACCAATTAACCATCTTGGGGGCTCTTTGTTATAACAACATAGATGCACTCATACAGACTCTTTCATAAACACTCCCAGCCCTGAAAGCTACTCTATAGCTCTCTCTGGCCATTTCCTTGGGAGCTCTTTCTCTTCTGCTAAACGAGAAGCCCCAAGGGAAGCAGACCACACCTGTTCATTAGTGAGTAAATAAATGCATGAAAGAATAAGCGGCTGTGTATTTAAGGGTTAGAGAATAAAGTGAGATACAGGACAGCAGCTGGGACATTCATTCAATTACAGTGTTCAAGGGTCCATATTCATGTTGGCATTTTCCCCACACACACACCTCACATTGTGGTCCCATGGGCTGGTCACCTGAACAACCTTCTTTTGTCACCAGATGGCACCATGACTCCAATCTTTAATTTTCCTTCTGTGCAAAGCCTTAGGCACCATAAGTACTGCCAGGCAGGAGGACACAAAATCAAGTAAGCTACACTCTGGGCCAAAATAGAGTCATCTCTTGCTAGTTTCAATTTGTAGGGGTTTTTTTTGTTTGTTTGTTTGTTTGTTTGTTTGTTTGTTTGTTTTGTTTTAAGATGTTTATTTATTATGTATACAATGTTCTGCCTGCATACCAGAAGAGGGTGCCAGATCTCATTGCAGATGAGCCACCCTGTGGTTGCTGGGAATTTGAACTCAGGACCTCTGGAAGAACAGCCAGTGCTCTTAACCACTGAGCCATCTCTCCAGCCCCATTTTTTTGTTTTTTGTTTATTTTACCAAGGAAAGATAACATCTTTTTTCAAAGATATCCTGAATATCCGGGATTTTTAGGCCTTAATGGAATAGACCATTCTCTGGGCTTGGTATACAGCTCAGGGACAGAGTGCTTGACTAGCATCCATAATGCTTTGAGCTCAGTTCCCAGAACCACAAGAAGATTTTTTTTTTAAACAGTAAACTATTGTCTAATTAATCTGTTTACCTCAATGGTACCTGGCCCAGCAACTGTGACTTTGAGAAAGCAATCATCATTTAGTATCAGCAGCTATTATCCAACATTAATTTCCTGGTGTGATCCATCCAAGCAGGGATTTTTTCGGCACTATCCTGCACTCTGCCCTTAGGCAAGCACCCCTCATCACAGGGCTGCTGCTCACAAATGGGTCTGATTTGCACTGCTGTGAACATCTTAGATGTTTATGCTTGCCTAAAGCACTTGATTTAATTTTCTAGGTTCCACTTTTACCTCTCCATCCTAGACGTCAGACACCAACTATCTAGCATCTTTAAAGAATACCAGTCCAGATCAAGCCAGTCAGATTCAACAGTGCAATGAAAACATTCAGGAAAAAATAGTAGGGGTGAGGAGCACTGTAGAGAATGGGATCCCGGAGGCCAAGGGGCCCAGGCAGAGGGACCAGGAGCTCTCAGAAGCCACAGTGAAAACATCTTGACTTCAGTGACTTGGGCCCAGAGTAGGGAGATTGTAGGAGCCAGCTATCAAGAAAGGTGACTTCAGTGTCATTCCCTGAGGTTTTCTGTCACAGCATGCCCCCAACCCAAGTGTCTGTGTAGAGTCAGGCATTGTCTGCCTAGTTCTGGTGGATCCTGCTGTTCACCTGAAGCACCCCGAAGAGGTTAATCTACACGTGGTAAAACGTTATTCCTTAAAACTTCAGCCGAGAAAATCAAGAAGGCCAAGGGAATGTGGCAATATTCTTGAGGTTGTGGAAGGGTGTGGATAAACAGGCAGCTCTAGGGTAGAATTCTATCAAAAGGGGAAAAAGCTACCTTTTGTGTGCTTCTACAGAGCATGTGCATGCTGTGCTGATGTTCGTGCTTCCTGTTTTATAAATCCCACCCTTGGGGAACTTGTGCAGTTTGTATATGTAAAGTGGATGGAGGTCATGATGGGTGACAGGCTGAGAGAGGACATCAAAGTCACTCTGAGCTCAGGTGGCAGAATAGCAACCACCATCATGAAAGGAAACAACTACCAATGAGGATGAGGAGGGATGAGTAGGCGGGACTCACATCAGAGGGAAAACAAGAGAAAGAGAAGGGCACGGGACATCTAGGCTTGCCCTGGGTGCAGTCAGTGAACTGGCCTGGGAATGTGGCTCAGTGGGTAGAGTGCTTGCCTACCCACTACCTAGCATGCA